GTCTAGGCTAGGATTAAGTTCTGCACTGGGAAAGATTGAAGGCAAATGGAGAAGGAGGCAGCAGAGGATGAGATGGTTAGACAGCATCACCGCCTCAATGAACGTGAATTTGAGCAAACTCCAGGAGATAGTGGAGGACAGAGGAGCCTGGCATGCTATAGTCCATGAAGTCCCAAAGAGTGGGACACGACTTAGCGACTGAACAACAATAATAGGATTAGGTTTTCCACCACGTTATTGCTGCGATTCTGCAGTTGATAATGGAAAAGCCCTTTTCTGGCTTATTAAAGTAGGGATATTGATTTAGCTAGTACATTACAGAAACCAGGAAACTCTGCTTGCTGTTTCTGGCCATTGTCATCCACTGGGTAGTCTCAGTATGATCCATAGCCTAGAAGTAGGTGTCTGTTTCCGTAGTGACTAAAGGAACTATTCAAGCCACTCTGCTCAATTATAAGTCTTTTTTTTAGTTTTATTTTTAATTGGAAGATAGTTACTTTACAATATTGTGATGGCTTCTGCCGTACATCAGCATGATTCAGCCATGGGTATACATACGTCCCCTCTCTCTTAAGTCTCCCTTACACCTACCTCCCCATCCCACTCCTCTAGGTATTTTTATACAGCAGAGGTATTGTTAGAATTTGCTAGAAACTTAAAATGGGAGAAAGGCTCTGAGTTTGTACTGGAAAGTGGAGTTTTTGGCTCAAGGAGAAATGAAAGATTAAAAACGGTAGAAGATATCTTTCTCTCTAACTTCTTTTTTTCTGCTGCTCCTCCTTTTCTCTGAAAATCCCTTTGGACTACTTAGAAAAGCAGAACCTCAAAAGTGAACAATCTGAATGTTCCTTGAACCAGTGGGTGGGTGACAGTCATGAGAAAGTCCTTAAAAAAGAAAAGCACCACTTCCTCTCTTCTGTCCGGGGATTGAATCTTTGAATCCAAGGGGAAGTAAGTTAATTCTCCCCCCACCCTTTTTTTTTTTTCTTTAGATGGGGACTTCCTTGTGTGCCTACATGTATGCATGTGTGTGTGTGGTTATCTTTTTTAAGTATTATTTTAATTTATATCTTTAAAAGTGTGAACACTTAGCACCAGTATCTGCATGCAGTAACATTTGTCAGGTGGTTTGGTTCCCTTGGTCACTTGAGGTGATTGATATTCAGATACCTCATTGAACTCAGGATGTGCATATTCTGTTTGTCCAACATTACAGAACTATTTTGTTTTTCTTTTTCTGTATAGCTACTTTAAACTTTATCTCAGCAGTACTGATTTTCGTTGGAACTTTTCATTGTTCTTGAAGGAATTCACTACATTTCCAACAGAGTTGGGAGCAAAATGTATCAACTCCAGAGCATAAATAATTCTATATCCTGCCTAAAATATACATCCATAACCTGACACTTTAATAAATAATACATTGATACATTTTGTATCAGCTTTCTATACATTTATTCTGTGTGTAGATTGACACAATTGATTTGTTTCATCATAGTTATGAGTCATAACTCAGTTATTCTTTGAGTAATACACATTTTGGCTGGTAGTTTGAAATTTTTCAAAAACGTGGCATCAAATTTTCACATTATAAACTACATCAATATTAACCAAATTGGTTAACCTAGTAGTGAACACTTTTATTAGGTAATTGCTTATTTACATATAAAACACAACAATACTCTGTCAAAGCAATTTTTCATTTCTTAGACGATTAAAAACTTCTGGTAGTAAAGAGGAATATATTAAATTTGGTTTTTACTCTTAAAAGTTGGTTATAATAATGGAAAACATCTTAGTGCTAATAGTTTAGCCAGAATTTTTACATTCTGAAAGTAGATCTTTAAAATAAGAGTGAAATCAGTATTGACCGAAACTGCCACATTCATTTCTACTGATCAGCCTTTATAAACCCACTACCAACACCACCACAGGCAAGAGGGCCTCTGGACCCACGAAGCTACGAGTCCCAAGAGAGGCTGTTTCGCCCCAGAGAGCAAATGACCTTTTTTCTGAGTGACAGTGTAGCTTCTGCTTTTCAACTGCTGTGCCCACAGGTTAGTCCAGAGAGGGGATCTTTTCCAGATTAACACAGTTGCAGTATTTAGGGCAGCAACGGCTCTGTTACTGGAGAAGTTTTCGTGGATGAGTTGGGTTTCAAGGAAGGCTGTTATAAATGGTCAAGATTTATTGTGCAGATCACAAGACAGAGTTGTGCTCATGGGGGCAGGGCAGCAGCTTTAGCAAGGGTACAGGTCAAGGTCAGGAATATGACATGTTCAGCAGTCAGTAAGGAGACTAGATTGATTGGGACAAAATGTGCTTGTCTTTGATGAGTGGAGGATTAGATGGGAAAGGTGAGCGAGGGTCAGGTGGTGAGGCTCCTGAATACAGGGTAAGGAATTTGGATGTTATCCTTCAGAAGAGAAATCACTCTAGGCATTTGTCCAGATTCATCCCGTGATTGGGGATAGCTTATTTTAGGTAGATTAACCCAGGGTTATGCAGCATAGGATAAAAGGAATAAGGGAAGATTGAAGACAAGGAGACAGATTTACAGGCTCCTAAATATAGTCCATGGTTTTCAGCTTCTGCCCAAGACCTGAGTAATGAAGATGAAAAGGAAAAGCTGATATGATAGTGTTTTTTTTTTTAATTACAGCAAATGTTATCATTTTTACCTGATCTCTGGAAAAAAACCATACTTATTATAGAAAATGCTTAAAATACACAGTTATGAGGAAGAAAGTGAAAATCACCTGTTCTCATTAAAACTGTAGGTGAATGCTCTTGAAATTTTAGGCACTTTTGGTTTTTTGTTTTGTTTCAAAGTATGTGGGTTGAAATCATGGTAAAATAATACTAAGTTTAAAGAGCTTGGATTACTTGTCATTTACTATGTTTTAAACATTTATTTCTTAATAAAAAATTCTAGAGGACTGCATTTTTATTGCAGAATGCTTGATTTACAATGTTATGTCAGTTTCTAATACATAGTAAAGTGAATTATATATATATATATATATATATGTATATGTATACATACCCATATATGTATATATCAATAGATAGACTTTTCTGTTATGGTTTATTGCAGGATATTGAGTATAGTTCCCTGTGCTATATAGTAGTAGGTCCTTATTGTTTATCTAGTTTATGTATAATAATGTGTATCTGTTAATCGTAAACTCCTAATTTATCCTTCATCCTCTTTGGTAACCATAAGTTTGTTTTCTATGTCTGTAAGTCTATTTCTGTTTTGTAAATAAGTTCATTTGTATCAGTTTTTAGATCCCATGTGTGAATGATATCAGATGGCACTTGTCTTTCTCTGTCTGACTTATTTTGCTGAGAATGACAGCCTCTGGGTTCCTCCATGTTGCTGCAGAGAACAAGGTTTTGTTCTTTTCATGGCTGAGTAATATTCCACTTTTTATGTGTACCACATCTTCTTTATCCATTCATCTGTCAATGGACACTTAGATTGCCTCCACATCTTACTAGAGAACCTCATTTTTAGTGCCTGTCCCATTATTTCAGATTATGAGTGCAAGGTTATTAACTATTCCACTATTGTAAGTCTAGATCATTACCAACTTTTTGTTATTATGAATTTTACTGTAATAAACTCAGTCAATGTAAATAAAATCAGTCAATGTAAATGCTTTATTTCATACTATTCCTTTTCCTTCCTCTGTAAGAAAATAAATAAAATTTAAAGATTAGGTGGAGCATTTGTTTCTGTATTTATTTTGTCTATTTTGATTTCAGTTCTGGTCTACCACACCTCGCCCTTAGTCCACTTTAAAAACTGGGGAAGGGGATATTACTTTTGATCTTTTCCTGGAATTATTGCCTTCTTCTGATGCTTGTCGTTTAAAATGGTATATTTTAATCCATTGTTTAATCCATTAAACATGGAACATTTTAGGTTGTTTTGATTTTCTCCTTTTCAACACTGATGAACTGATATTCCTGCACACATACTTCATGTGCACAAATAAAAGACTATAACCTTGAAAGTGAATTATAGGGACCTGGGATGTATCCATCTTCAACTCTAGTATCCTGTACACATCAGTTGCATCAACTACAATGGTACCAATTAATACTCACTTTTGCAGGCAGAGCAGAGCAATTTCAATCCACCCACATCCTTGGCAATCCTTTCTTTTAAATGCTCACCAACCTCCTATAAGTGCAATAGTATCTCTTTTGTGTATATGAAATATTTTACTTTTGTTATGCATTTCTCTAGTAACTAATGAATTATAGTATAGTATGATTTCATATGTCTAGTGGCCATTGAAGCTTCTTGTCTGGAATTTGCCCATTTTCTATTGAGTTTGTTTTACTTCTCTATACTCTATCCTGTGGCAGGTATGTGGTTTGCCAAGGTATTCTCCCAGTGTCTGTATTTTAACTCTGCTTGTTTAAAAATTTTAGGCAAATTTCTCAGTTCTCTTTTATGGTTTGGATGTTTTCTGTCTTGATTAATAAGTTCTTCTCCAATGTCAAAGATGTTTCACTTACAATTTATTCATATTCTTCATGGATCAATTACTTTATATTAGTAAAGCTTTAATTCCTCTGACAATCACTAATAAACCCACCAGGTGATTTCCCAGAATGAGGAAGATGAAAAGTGGAAAACAAAGGATTATAAACTCTTTTAAGGCTTGCATTGTTAAGTCCATAACTGGACCACAGAGGCATCATCTGTTTTGTGTAACAGTAGGTACCCACACCTACCACGGTTTGTGTTAACAGAAGTGTATGTCTTCCCCATTGAAAATCTTCCACAGAAACTCCATCCAAGTTCAACTACATGACGTCTTTGCAAAGTATCAATTATTCCTGGTCATTGAGGTTGAATGAAATTTCACTTCCCTGTGTTTTCAGCCATGGTCTCACTACTAACCCCGTGCCTGAGTCCAGAAGCAACACGTTGCCATTTTTCAAACAGAGTCCCCCTGACGTTGGCTTCATTTTGCTTTCAGCAGCTCACAGAAACCGTGAGTCCTTCCTCGCTGCCCGCCTCAGCCTTGCCACTGGACCTCCTGAATAATGCCGTCACTGCCTTTAGTACCTTGGAAGACCTCATTCGGTATCTTGAACCAGACAGATGGCAGTTAGACTTAGAAGATCTCTACAGGCCCACTTCTTTGCAACTGCTGGGCAAGAATTTCGTGTTTGGAAGAAAATCCAGAGGTAAGCTGTCTCTTCAGTTTAGAACCTCATCTAATTTTCTTAGCAGCTCATGTTTCAGATTCTTCTGCCATACCTTCTAATGAGTAGAGTTTAAAATTCTTCTTGGATAAAGTTAAAAGCTCCATTTTCTTAATATTTGAGCATATTTACATATTAAATAAGAATGCACATAAAAGGAGGCTCTTCTGACTGAGTATGGGAGATTTAAAGAGATGCTTTTGCTGAAAATGCCTGTTATTTCTTTAATTCAAAAATATCATGTTGATGAAGTCCTCTGTTACATTTCACAGGAATTGTTGCTTATTCAAACTTAATATTTGGTGTATATTAAATTAGAGATTCAGTAGAGATTATCATAGCTTCAGGGCCAGGTTTGGGGCTAGAAAAGGGGAAAGCTCTATTAAAATCTTTGTCTAGCATGTCCCCTGAATCAGAATTATATCCATTTCCTAAGCCTAGAAGCTTTTCTAAATATTATGAAAAATACCCATGGCTCCCCAGAAAACAGACCTACTAGTTTCCAAGATAGGAATCACTGAAAGAAAATAATGCTCTAAAGGAACTCACACTATGATGATTCTTTCTCTGTATAAATATGTTTGAAATGATCACTTTTGATTATATGAGCATATCTCCTTCCAAGAGTGAAAGTGTTGATAATTAAACTTAATTCCACATGGTCAAGAAATTGGAAATAATGGTGATGGGATTTGCTCTAAGGTCCGCTAACTTTCCTAGTAACACTGACATTGGAAAGCATCACTCTCAGACACAAATGAAAATGCAAATGCCTTATTATAACACCCTCAGAAAATCTGTTTCAGTCTGTCAGATACTTTAAAATCTACCTAGGGTCTTTTACAGAATGGAAGAGCAGTCTGTAGAATGTCTATAGAAAGCAGAATATTTAGTTAATTTGAGCAACTCACAGGGACAGATTGCATCAGACATGTTCTTCGGAAAGAAACCCTATTCCCACCCTTTCCTGCTCAGAGCTGCAGCTCTTCTGATCAGGACCTTCCATCTCAGCAGATCCTGTTGAGACTTGCCCAGCATGGTATTCTGCTGGGCCAGCAGCTCCAGTTTCCTCTCAGCAATACTGGAAATCTTGTCCAGAGGCAGCCGAATCTTGTCCAGATCCTGAAAGCTGTTGCATATTTATAAGATGTGATCTTGATGAATAACTCACCAACAGCACTTCCCTTCCCTCCTTCTCAGGAACGGGAAGATGGAGACTTGGGAGGCTGGCTGCAACGCCCCTGAATACAGCCTTTGTTAGCAAATTTGGAGTAGATTATCGAGTGGATCTGTAAGAAGCAGAGGGAGTCAGCTGGGTTCTGAGCTCAGATCGAGTTTTGACAGCTGTTCTTGGGATGGGAGCCTGCAAATCTCCCCTCCAGCCATGCCCATGTGTCTGTATCTCTCCCTGTGGTGCTCAGTGATGATTTGGCCAGAGGCTAGGGAGTACTTAAAAGACCCAGCACTGAACCAGATCTTTCAAATATTCATTTAACACTTTCCAAATTGAAGCCCTTTGCAGTTTGCCAAATCTATTAACTTTTTAAGCATACGGTAAGTGTGAGAAAAGCAGTGTATATTTTTGGAACTTTACATAAACTAAAATGCAGGTGTGGGATAACATCTATATAGACAAAACCAACTCCCCTCCCCAGAGTCTCTACAAAGGAACGAGGAGTAAAACATTTAAAAGCTTCTAATTAGACATTGAAAGAGATTTTCCATAGAATAAACATATCACAGTGTTACCACATTCATCTTAGAAAGACCACCCTCAAATTGCAATACAGTCATAGAATTTCCTTGGGCTGAATGTCTCGAAAGAATGGTCACTAAAAATGTAAAATGTGATCATGGTTTTTTTGTGTGTTTTTTTTAACCAGTGTTATCCTTTTTAGTAAAACTTGCAACATTTATGAATCTGAACAAGAAAATAGGTATTAGAAAAACAGTGTTCATTGATGACAGGCTTCACATCTTCATTCTTTAGAAAGACAGGCTAATGCTTGCATCGTCTTAGTAGTCACAAAAAGAAAATAAAGCATCTGAAGGCTGTTTACTTTACAAATATTTTGTAAAGGGAAACTTCATAATAGTAAAGTTATACAAAAGTGTGTGTTGATGCATGATCTTTCTCTCTCTCTGTTTTTCTTCCTTTTTTTTTTGCCTAGGTGTTCTACACAATATTTTATGAATTTGTGACACCAGTTATAGTCACATGATGTATTTTAATGAAGGTTGGATGAGTTTGAAGTCCTAACAGTAGGAAGCATAAATTTCAAATAACATATGCTAAATTTAAAGTCCTTCTTTAGCCCAAAGTAGACTGCATTCATGTCTTTCCGTTTCTTTATTTTCCCTTTCTTCCTCCAATTCAGTGTATTCATTCATATCTTCCTACTACAGAAAAGAAAAACTCATTTTTTTTAAGTCAGGCTTAACTAGTACTTAAAAAGGGCTTTTGACTTTTGTGTCAAACATGATAGATGAGTGGAAGCTAAGTTGAAAGTCTGTTTAAATTTTCACATTGTAGCAGGTATCATAACTTGGTTCACTTGGGAAATCCATCTAACCTTTTATTGTGGTTAAGTAAACATTTTAAAGGGAACATATACAGTCTCATTTTCTAGTTGCATGAAATAGTATGTTTAAAACTCTTTGAGGTAGATGAATATCCTTTGAAAGCTAAGAGCTTCATTCACATTCTAAAGAAGTATAAATCTTAAATAAGCATTAAAAACTTTGGCAACTGGCTTTTGTATGTGTGTGTCTGTTTTAGGTTTTCTCGCTCCTTGCCTAGATATTAACTTCTAGAGAAAAGATTCAAAGACGCTCCTATGCAGCTTTGACAGTTAAAGAGCAGTATGTACATAGACTGTTAGTTCAGCAAAATGAAATCAGATAAAACAGGTGACATCACTTAACCTAATCATCTCATTAATTTTATTAGAACTAAGTTGGTCTTTAATGGCACTTAAAAAAATAATTCATTTCCTCTTAAATATTTAAAAGTTTTACTTACACAGGATCATTTTTCAGATGAAAGGGAAATCTTTAGATAATCAAATAAAACAGTAATTTTTCTGTTGAATTGGAAAAAATAATTTTAGCTGAATGAGGCTGAAATGAACCTATTAAATTAGCATTTCCTTGGTGTTTCCCTGTTCTTGACGAATTTTAGTCAATTGTATAGTTTAATGTGCTTATAATTTACAATTGCATATACAAAATCTTGTATGTTTCTTAAAAATACTTACCTTGACTTCTTTTGACATTTTAGAAAAACTTGACCACATACACAAGTATAACATAACTAAAGAAAACAAGCATTTGATTCTTACTACCTTGTCATTTTTAAAATACTTTCAAATATTAGTCAGTTAATTTTTAAAACTATATTATTATTATTGAAGTTAACTTTGGCCAGAAAATATTATTTATAATGTTGTCAATATTAATGAAAATATATTTAACATATCTCTTATATTTTAGATAATGTTCCTAAATTTTAATAAAACTATTTTTGACAGAATAAAAGCTCTGATGAACTATATATTATTCAAACCTTCAATTTTATTGGAATTGTTTTTATTTGAATATTTCTAGGGGAAAAGGCAAAGCCCTAAAGCAGAAATTAAGATCATTTTAGAAATGCTTATCCTAGTAATTATCAACTACATATAAGTTTATACTAAACTTGACATATTATTTTGATATAACTTAACTGAGGCAAAGTCATCTTATAGTTAGAAGCAGTGGTTCTTTGAGAATTTATTGCAACAATTAATAAAAGGATTTTTTTTTTGCTCCTCATAAGTAGATAGTCTAAAGAATGAAGCACGATGTAGTTAACCAAGTTACTAAAACAATAGAGACAATGGTTATAAATTAGACATTACTTCCATCTATTAAAAGGAGACTAGAAATCTTGCCTGGAAAATCCCATGGACGGAGGAGCCTGGTGGGCTGCAGTCCATGGGGTCGCTAAGAGTCGGACACGACTGAGCGACATCACTGTTTACTTTCATGCACTGGAGAAGGAAATGGCAACCCACTCCAGTGTTCTTGCCTGGAGAATCCCGGGGACGGGGGAGCCTGGTGGGCTGCCGTCTATGGGGTCGCACAGAGTCGGACACGACTGAAGCGACTTAGCAGCAGCAGCAGCAGAAATCTAAAGGAGTCTAGTTAAACTAAATTTTCAAGTCCATAAACTAATCAACACACCAGAAGCAATGCTTTCCAACAACTCCTGCTCTTTTTAAAAGGTGTCTTCTTTTTCACTCCTGGTCCACTCAGCTGTCTTCAAGAACTCATTTTCTTCATTCCTCTTCACATTCTATGATTCTTGTAAAGTTCTGCCAGCAAGCTTCTGAACTTTATTCTTCATTCATTGCGTGAGTTTGTCATCCTTCTAAAACTTGGATTTATTTTTTCATCAAAGCATTCATTTTACATTCTATTCTTCCCTCCAACGTGTCCCGTGTTTGATTTTTTTCCAAAGGTTAGAAGATGTAGCCCCATTTTTCCTGTAAAGTGTCCTATGTTTGGCTCTTAACTGTTTCTTTTGGCTCCATCCTCAACTCTGCACAATGCCACCTCTTCAACCATCCCTGGGTCACAAGCAAGCTCTGTTTGCCATCAAACAGAAAGTCCAGCCCACAAGCTGCATCACCCTAAGACCTGGTTAAGTAATTAGGGTTATTCTTAAGGTGATGGTTCATGAAATATTTAGATTTAGAGCTTAGTGAAGTGCGTCCGGCTCGGATCTCACCTCCTCTTGGCTCGCTTGTGCCCCGCAGTGGTGGACCTGAACCTGCTGAAGGAGGAGGTGCGGCTCTATAGCTGCACACCCCGCAACTTCTCCGTGTCCGTCCGGGAGGAGCTGAAGAGGACCGACACCATCTTCTGGCCCGGCTGCCTCCTGGTGAAGCGCTGCGGCGGGAACTGCGCTTGCTGCCTTCACACCTGCAGCGAGTGTCAGTGTGTTCCCAGCAAGGTCACCAAGAAGTACCACGAGGTACGGGCATCCTTGCCTTCCCTGATCTTCTGCGTTGGGGGTTTGGGGCGTGTGTCCCAGAATATCCTAAAGCAATGCATCGGGGAAGGCTTGTTGTTTTCAAGGAGAGGTCATCTTCAGGGAAACCAAACGAAACCAAACCAAGGTTTACAGAAGAGTTCCTGTTTTTATTTATTACTTTTAAAAATTAGAACCTTGAACTCAGAATGCCAGACATGAAGAATTTGGACAGCTTGTCCTCCGAATGGACAATCACGGGTGATCAGGGGACTTTTTCCTCTCTCATAGAAAAAAACACAATATGTTCTTCTGGATGGGGAAAAATGGATGAAATTTTCACCTTTTCAAAATATCAAGGGAAAAAAAATATCAAGGGAAAATATTTTAAAGACAAACTTGGAGGTAAATTATGGTCCACTTTGGAGAAAAGAGATCTTTGATGTTTATTTTTTTCCATTTGCGGCAATGCTAACACATAAATCCCAAGAGCGTATTCATAATTATATTTCTTATTATTCATCATTTATATTGTATCTTCCTATTATTCATGTGGCCCCAAATAGTACGTTAAACCTTCTATGGATTCTTCATCCTTCTATGTCTTTATCCTATGGAATTAAGGAAAACACAAAAGGAAATATTCTTAGTATTCTATAATTTAATAAGAATTATTAAATTCCTAGTAATTTTTGGTTTTCAGAGCCTTGGTAATGTTAGGGTTAAACATTTAAAATTCTTATTAATTATCCCATTATACCCTACACCACCCTCTCCAGCGGCACATAGCTTTCACACATCAGGAAGCAATCCCTTTTGATGGCTCAACTTCAGTCTTTACAAAATGTATTTCACAAACTTTAATTTTTACAAAACCAAACCAAAGTCTGCTTCCTAACTTCATTTTGAGGTGGCTTCATTTGTTTTTGTTTTTTTTTCTGCTAAATAAAAGAATGGCACAAAATAAATATCTACTTAATAAATGAAATGATTTTTCTTATGTGTGAAGACACCACAGAACCCACATCTGTTGGGTAATCTGAATATGTCATGTCATAAACTGCACTCATGTGACAGGGCTGCCCAGCTCTTCCCTGGTATTGTGTTGGCAGTTGACTAAATGGGAAAAAAGCACTGAATTCCAAAATAGAAGGTCCCTGTTTCTACCCTAGGTCTATTTTTAACTTGCTGTAACTATCATCAGGACACTTAGCCTACATGAGTACAAACTAGGATCAATTTTTCCTAATGGTTTTATTCTCTGACAATTATTAGATGACAGTTTTTAGAAGATAACATCCAAAACTGGCAGTCTGGAGAATAGGACTGCTTGCTCTCATATTCCACATGTATCTAGAGACCCTTGTGCTAGAAACGCCCTCCACTCCTGTTTCAGGAGGAACCCCAGTCCCACTCTGCCCAGGGGTTGGCTTTGTTGCTACTCTGAAAACTAGGAATTTAGTTAAGAAAAACCCTTCACATGGCAGTTCTGTTTCTGAACCAAACTTGGGTTGCTTGCCCTCCTGAGCAGTAAAGTCAGTCTGTTGACCCAGCTTGTAAAGGAAATACAATGTTTATTATAGGTGCCAAACAAGGAGTCCAGGTAGTTAGCGTTTAAAAGACTTGAACACCTAAAGGCCTTCAGGAAAAGGTTTTTAAAGAAGGGATAAGGGAAATGGTTTCAGCTCATGAACTTTCTTCTAATTGGTTGGTGGTAAGGTCATCAGAAGTCAACATCATCAACCTTCTGGTTCCAACTGGTCTAGAGTCTGTATGCTTGTGGGGAGCATATAGTTAAGTTCTTTTACCTGGTGTCTGGAAAACAGCTCAAAGGATATGGCTCAGGATTCTATCTATAGCCCTTGAGGAAGAACTCTAAAGGTCCTTAATTTTGTTTAATGATTAAACTATTATTATTTTGTTTTACTTGACTGTTTTCCTTTCTGCATTTTCTCACTTTTCCTATTAAATTTATTCTTTGAATAGTTTTTCTACAGACAAAAGACAAAATGAGGACTTGGAGAAGGGGAGTGGCCCATAGGGTCCTGTTCTAAAACATATTAAGGTCAAAATGCCTTAAAGGTTGGCTGATATTAGAGTTGATTAGTATAATGTAAAAGGAGGTAATTAAAGGAAGAGATAAACTTGAGTGACTCTTTTCCCACCTAAAATTATTCAATTTTAAACTTTCTAAAGCAGGTACTGACTAAGGAAAGTGTATTTGGGGACCTGATTTAGCCAACAAGTCTTGGGTTTATGACCCAACTTGTGAAGAGCTATAAAAGCCAGAATAGTCTTGTGAACTTTTCTAAACAAGCGTATCAGATGCTGAGTCCATGTCAGACCTTGGGGCTGCTGAATCAGTCCTCAGATCAAGAGGATCCTCCTCCATCCTTGTAAATTTCTTTTCAAATACCATTAGTTTCAGAGTTATCCAGAAAGTTGCCACAGAGTTTGCAATACCTGTTCTAAAGTCTCAAGTAAAATTCTGGGGGGAAAGGCCATGGGCAGAGCTTCTGCACTACTGCCCTTCAGAAGGGCATTGATTCATCTCCAGCCTTCAGATGGGGTTGATTGTGGGCACTGCCTATAGTCCACACTTAACAACTGTGGGTGTTTATCTAGTTATGTGATCATGGAGTCCATTTCCCACAAATATCTCTAAAGTGTATGTGCACAGATATAATTATGTGGTTACCAATTCCACATTTCTCACAGATATTGCCAACCTAATCCTGTCTTAATTTTTTCAATGTTTTGTTGGAATTATAAAATTTTCTTTGACACTATTTTTTTAGCAATCAAATTAGCCTATGAAAAAAAGATTATTTGTTTGGTGTAATTCATAGTTCCTGAGCCCTGAACTTTGCTCAGCCTTATACTTTGTATGTTCTGAGGCTTGTAAATTTAGTATTACTTCTAAACAAATGAACTTTTTAGAAAACGTAACTTATAACATTTCTAAAATCATTGTTATTGAATACCATTAATCAAGATCTAGAGACTTATTTAAAGTGAAGGCTTTCATTCTTTTTGATGATCCTTGGTCCAGTTTTTAGTTTAAAGATTATTCTACTTCATGGACACAGCAGAAGCAAAGACAGAGCTTAAAAGTTTTATATTTTATCTCTTTCATCCAGCTCTTTTATGCAGCTTGCCTACATATTAAGCTGAAGTGTATCTATTTGTGTCACTATAACTGAATAATTCCCTCTTTTGCTTCCTTTAGCATTTTCATTGGGTTTTCACAAACTTAAAAAATCATAAAATGTAACATAATGTTATATTTTGATAAAATATTATCAAATTAGACTTTTACTGCTTTTTTATCTAAAACCAGATATTCTTTATTTGAAGCCATTTTAGCCAAAAACAAAAAATGTTTTCTTAATTCCCCTGTCTCCAAAACACACATTTTCAGAAAAACAAGACAGGGATTTTATGTATGTGTAAACCTAGATGTTACAACTTTCTTGAATCGCTTTTTAGTTTACTGTCAATCCTAGCATAACTATAGTTCATCCTCCTGCATGTGTGCAATTTTAAAGATATTTCTGTTAGAGAACAGTTATCATTTTGTATTTGTTTCTCCCAAATTGAGAACTAAGAATAAAGATCCCATTACAATGCAGGTCTCAAATGCAGGGAATCCAAGGCTGTGTGACTTTGAGCTAATTACTTAATCCCTGGCCCCTCAATTTCTTCATCTGTGATGTGAGCTGTAAGCCTTCACACCTCATTGTGAGGACTCAAGGAGCTGATGCTTACAAATACCTAGAATGAGGTCTGGCACATTTCAAGCCCTCCATATTTAGTGGCGATTGTCTCACTCAGCTTTCCCTGGTGACTAAGACGGTAAAGAATCCGCCTGCAATGCAGGCAAGCCAGGTTTAATCCCTGGGTCAGGAAGATCTCCTGGAGAAGGGAATGGCAGCCCACTCCAGTATTCTTGCCTGGAGAACCCATGGACAGTGGAGCTTGGTGGGCTACAGCCTATGGCTTTGCGACGAGTTGGACGTGACTGAGTGACTAACACTCACTCAGCTTTATCTTTGCCCCCTCCACCTTGTCTAGCCTTATTCTTTGATTATGGCAATTAATCAATACAGATTTAATGAATTTTGCCCAGAGATGGGATATTTTCTTTCTGGCAAAAACATTTGTAAGATATTCTGACAAATGTATTGCTCCTTTTCCCCATTCTTAATCACCCTAATGGGCTTCATCTTGTTTACATCTTTATACATCTAGTTTCATTTTTCATAGCACATAGTCTTTTCTTGTGTAGATTTTTTTTTTTGAGGGGGGTGGATAACTATACCACTCAACTGCCTTGCTCTAGTAATGTGTCCCATCACCCAAGGCTCTGTGCTACCCGGAATTTGGAACAGCAGTACACATGCATTGTTCTTTTTTTTTTTTTTTTTTTTTTTTTTTGGGGGTCTTTCTGGCCTGATCTGTTCTCTCCGCAGTCTCTGGTTTTAGCATTTCCTTGCATTATTTCTTCACACAGCCAATATTGTACTTTGAATCTCTTCCTCAAAACCTTTGTGAGATATGCTTCTACCTCATTTCTTTCCTGTATCATAAGCCATGTACTAAAGACCAGTAACCCTTTTTAACATTATCTGGGACCAGGTAGTCATTTTCCAGGTCTCTCTGTGTCTTCCAAAGTCCAAACTTTCAAAGGGAATTAAGAGGGAAAATACTTATTAAACCTGCACCACATTCAAGACCTGAACACCCTTGGAACATTACGAGATTCTTCTGCTTTTGTAAATGTCCACAGGCATGGGTGGATGAAGATGGGGTGGAGAGGGGGCAATTATGTGGTGACTGCATCTTGTGTAAGCTCTGCAGAGGGAGGAAGCATTGTTGGGTTGCAGCCTGGTGTAATATAGACTGTCAGAACTATATATAGGGGTCTCACTAATCCTTACCATTCATGGTCATTCTTTCCCCTGCCAACTGGGAGAATGTATATAGATGGACGCAGGAATTAAAGACATTGCCAGTATTGCACTGTATGTATCCACCCGACCAGATTCCAGAAGCAACTTGTCAAGAGTGATGATAAGGCATACTGCCAGCATCTTAGGAGTCGTTAGTTTTGATGCCGCCTTATGTTGGTCAGGGCTTCCCTGGTGGCTCAGAGGTTAAAGCGTCTGCCTGCAGTGCAGGAGACCTGGGTTTGATACTTGGGTCGGGAAGATCCCCTGGAGAAGGAAATGGCAACCCACTCCAGTATTCTTGCCTGGAGAATCCCATGGACGGAGGAGCCTGGTGGGCTATAGTCCACGGGGTCGCAAAGAGTCGGACACGACTGAGCAACTACACTTTCACTTTCACTATGTTGGTCAAAAGTGGGAGATCAGTACCAGCACATAAACTGTATTCATCTCACTGGATTAAGTTTCATATGAAAATAATAGTCTAAATAATTATCACTCTAGAATTGTAAATGTCATAGAAAATCTACTTTAAAATCTTACTATTTTTCATAGCTATCATAAGATTTTGCAGCTTATCTCTCTAGGAAGAAAGTTACTAAATAAGTAGAGTATATGACTAGTAATATTCTGGGTCTTGGTGAAATTATTATCTATCATTGTAATCATTCCCCTTCGGCAAAAGTACAGATAGTGACTGTGTCACTCATTCTCACTAGGCTTCTGTTCACTCATGTGTAAAATAGGACTAATAGTTGTAAATTACTTCATAAAATTCTAGTGAGTTAAAGTCTGTGAAAACTATTAGATCACCTGGTACCCAGTAAGCATTCAAAAAATGTCAGCTAATTAACCTTTGATATGACCAGATACTCCAAAGGGAGGACGATTCTTTGTTTTTCATTGTTAAATATTTAAGTAAAACAGTCATAAAACCAGTTGTTGTTGTTGTTTAGTTACTAAGTCATGTCCAGCTCTTTGCAACCCCATGAACTGTAACCCGCCAGACTCCTCTGTCCATGGGATTATCCAGGCAAGAATACTGGAGAGGGTTGCCATTTCCTTCTCCAAGGGATCTTCCCAGACCCGAGTCTCCTGCATTGGCAGGTAGGTTCTTTACCACTGAGCAACCAAGGAAGCCCCGGTAAAACCTGATTGGTGCCGTTTTGGATTAATGAATATTTCCAGAATGGTATCTTTTAGAAGTTGCTCTGCAAAGTTATCTGTGTCAGACTCAGGGAGCAAACTATACAACTTCACATTATTCTGTGCTCTGTTCATAAGCCAAAGCCACATAATTGCTAAAACTTTGTTATCATTTCTGTTGTAAGACCTAAAATGTAATGTACATTGAGTAGATAGTTCTTATCAAATATTTCAGAGAATCATGTATAGAATACATAGCTGTATCCTTTCATCACAGTTTGAAAAGGGTGTGTTTAGTATCAGTGTCTGTTTTGCTGTATTTCTGGTTAAAAATCTCAACCATCCAAACTACAAATAACTTCATTTAATAGAGGCATTCTTGTTATTCTTGCCAACTGTACACGACACAGTAGGACCCAGCTGCAGAAAGTTAACTGTGACGGAGCTGTTGTCGACGAAGTACATCTAATCCATCTCATCAAGTTTACAGAGGACTTGACGTGTAGCCAAGCACGTTAATGAGCAGCATAATTGAGCAGACTCAGCTGCAGACGGGTCGGGTTTCTTTTCACAGCATCACAGTACTTGCCTGCCGTGCTCCAAGGATAAATATTTGCTAAGCATGTGAATAAATGAATGAAAGAAAACAACAAACGGAAGAACAAATTGTTCAGTAGTGGTTTCCAAAACACCTAAAGAAGGTGAAATTCCCTCTGATTATGGTTAAATGTGTAGGGGAAAAAGGGTATAGTGAATCTTTCAGTTTAAACACTATTCTTTTTTAAAAATTTATTTTATTGAAGTGTAGTTGATTTCCAATGTTGTGTTAATTTCTGCTGTATGGCAAAGTGATTCAGTTATACGTATACATATATATTATTTTTCATATTCTTTTCCATTATGTTTTATAACAAGATATAGTTCCCTATGCAATACAGTAGGACTTTGTTGTTTATCTACTCTATGTATTCTAGTTTGCATCTGCTAATCCCAAAATCCCAATCCATTCCCTCACCTGTCCCTCTCTCCCTTGGCAACCACAAGTCTATTTATTCTGAGCAGCCTCCTTCCTAATTGTTGGTATTAAAAGGTCTTTCCTTTCATGGAAAGATGATAATCATTTGTGATTTCTTTGAAGGGTAGGGGGATATGTCCATAATGCCTTCAGGAGTAGAAATTAAAATGTGTTAAGTCATTGTTGGGCCCCGAGATTCTGTTCTGAAATCATTCCTGTCCATGCAATCACAAGTTGCAGACGTGGCCTGATTTTAAAGGTGGTTTCCATTGTTCCCTTTCAGGTCCTTCAGTTGAGACCCAAGACAGGCGTCCGGGGGCTGCATAAGTCACTCACGGACGTGGCCCTCGAGCACCATGAGGAATGTGACTGCGTGTGCAGGGGGAGCCCTGGGGGATAATGCCTCGCAGTGGCTCAGGGCTGCCTCTGCGACAGAACTCGTGCCTTATCTCCATCCACAGTCCCGGCTGTTGGCTCCAGGGCCCTTTCATCTTCAGGATTTACAGCGTGTTCTGAGAGAGGAGACACCAGGCAGAATTAGGGGTTGTGCAACGGCCCTTTGGAGATGAGGCCCCACGACAAGAGGAACGTCCTCTCGGGAAAGGAATGAACCTTGTAGATTTCTAGTTAGTTGCAAAGTCCCTGTGAGCACCCTCGGCTGCACTGTGTCTCTTGTCTGGATGTGGCCTAGGTTCATGTCAGCACAGGAAACGCTGCCTGTGAGCCCCTGGTTCTGTCGCCTTGCTTAACTCTAAGCCCCGTGCTCTGGGGCTCAAATCACAGAAATCTCGGATTGTTTCTTCTAATCACATGTATAAGAGTGTTCTAAGTTCTACCAACATGGGTTTTAAAAAGGAACTGTGTTGCCATGAATTAAACTTGTCGTGCTGATAGGAGAGACTGGATTTTCCATATTTCTTAATCAGATTTCTACCATTTAGAAGAAGAGACCTCCATGCATGGTTTGGAACAGACAAACCTGAGAAGAGTGGCCTTATCTTCACTTTATAAGTTGGTTTATTTGTTTTATTGTGTACATTTTTTATAGTCTCCTTTTGACATTATAACTGTTTGCTTTTCTAATCTTGTTAAATATATCTATTTTTACCAAAGGTATTTAATATTCTTTTTTATGACAACCTAGATCAACTATTTTTAGCTTGGTAAAATTTTCTAAACAGAATTGTTATAGCCAGAGGGACAAAGATGATATAAAATATTGTTGCTCTGACAAAAATACATGTATTTCCTTCTTGTATGGTGCTAGAGCTTAGATCAGTCTACTTTTTCAAATATTAATTGGGAAATGGATAGAATTTGGTAAGTTGCAAAGACTATTGGAAAGTAAATAATTATGTCTTCAACTCCTCTTATTGAGATGAAAGTAAAAAGCAGAATACCCCCAGAGGCATCCAGGTCCAGGCGTTACTAACCTCTAACCCTTATTTAGGAAAATGTGAGCCCAGCTCAGAAGATCATAAAGCACCTTGAGAATAAGAGACTTGACAACCGCCTGACAAAGCATGTTTGGCTGTCCTATAGGAACACATCCTATTTATTGTGATGTTCTGGTTAGATTATCTTTAAACTCTGTTCCATACACTTGTATAAATACATGAATATTTTTATGTACAGAAGTATATCCTTTAATCAATTCACTTATTGTACTCTTTGGCAATTGAAAAGAAAATCAGTCAAATCCTTTGCTTGTACAATGCTGAATCTTGTGCCTAGGTTATGTGGTGACTATTGGAATTAAAAATGTATTGAATCACCAAATAAAAGAATGCAGCTATTTTGGGGAGAAACTGAGTGTGTGTTTGCAAGATTTGTGTCACCATGATTTTTATTTTGCAAAAGGTGCTGTCAGTTCAAAAGACAGGTAGAAAAGTAGCATTTCTGGGGAGGCTTTCCTGCCTCTGGGCTCCTGTGCTTTTGAGCAGTGGTTTTCTTTTTCTCTGTTATCTTGATACTGATTAGTGGTAAATTAAGTTGCAAGTGACTTGGAGTTGTGTGTGATTAATGAAATGCTTGATGACAGATTATATGGTGGTATGAAATGGGGGAGTGTAACTTCCTACTCCTGTCTTTGCATTTTCAGAGGCTGATACTAAAAGGGGTGAGCCCAGACCCCTCTAGCACGTGGATCCACATACCTAACGGGGCACACATCAAGATGTGAGCCTGTGTTTTAGAAGTAGATCTCAAAGCAGGCTGGTGTCTTCAGCACTTGAGCCCTGCCTTTGACCTTGCCTGGGAGCCATCTAGGTCCCAGGCTCTTCCAGGCAATAGCCTTTCAAGCACTTTCCCGCCTGACAGTCCTACCCTGCGCCCACCCACGTGAAAGACAACGTGAAAATACCTCCTCTGTGTTATTGACTTATTATCATAATTGTGTCCCAGCTGCCTGGAGGCTGACTAGATACAGCTTGGCTGCTGTCCTGGAAAGTCTACCACGTCTCCATCTGGCCATTTGACCACTCTTATTAGCCTTATCAACACGCTGTGAAATCTGATAGCTGTGACCCGTGCAACTGCATTTAATCCAACGTTTCCAGCTTTTTCTTTAAATTTAAATTTAAATAGTTTAAATAGTCGATTTGCAATGTCATGTTATTTTCGGGTATACAGCAAAGTGCCTCAGTTATCCATATGTATACATTCTTTTTCACATTCTTTTCCATTATAGTTTATCACAGGGTATTGACTATAATTCCCTGTGCTGTACAGTAGGACCTTGTTGTTTATCCATTCTGTATATAATAGTTTGCCACCCCTAATCCACCCCCCCTCGCCCCTCCCCCACTCCTCCACCCCTTTGGCAACCACAAGTCGGCTCTCTCTGTCTGAGAGTCTGTTTCTGTACTGTGTGCTAGCACTGTCTATGGAGCACTGTTCCTGTGCTCATCTATTTCAATCATGTCCTCCTGTGTGTATTAAAATGCTCATTGTATTTTGTACTCTGCTTCAGAAAGCATTTGCCTAGCCACTTACACTAAATGCAATCTTTTTTGTAACTTTTCTAAGCCATTCTAGTAATTTTATTTAGTATAAATTTGTACAAAATTTAGGAGAAGGAAATGGCAACCCAGTCCAGTATTCTTTCCTAGAGAATCCCATGTTCAGAGGAATCTGGTGGGCTCCTGTCCATAGGGTCGCACGGAGTCGGACACAACTGAAGCAACTTAGCATGTGTGCGTGCATTGGAGAAAGGAATGGCAGCCCTCTCCAGTATTCTTGCCTGGAGAATCCCAGGGACAGAGGAGCCTGGTGGACTGCAGTCTATGGGATCACACAAAGTCAGACACGACTGAAGCAACTTAGCACACACGCATGGACTCTAAAGATGGTACTGATGAACCCGTCTACAGGGCAGCAACAGAGAATGGCAGCCCTCTCCAGTATTCTTGCCTGGAGAATCCCAGGGACAGAGGAGCCTGGTGGACTGCAGTCTATGGGATCACACAGAGTCAGACACGACCCTGAAGCGACTTAGCAGCAGCATCATACACAATTTAAGAAAGAGGCATAGTAGTTTCATAGGAAGGATAGCTATTAAGATTAATAACTTTATTGTTTCAGAAATACATATGTACTCCCAGCTACCATTTTAAAGAAACAGGAAAGCTGATCCTAAAATTCATGGAAATGCAAAGGACCCAAAATAGCTAAGAAATCTTGAAAAAGAGCTTCAAACTTGGAGTACTCACAGTTCCCAATTTCAAAACTTACTATGAAATAAAAAATAGTGTGGTAAGGCTAATAATTTAGACATGCAGATAACTGAGAGTCCAGAAATAAATTCTCACAATTACAGTCAATTTATTTTAACAGTGCTACCAAGACAGCTCGATGGGGACAAGGTATTCTTTTCAATAAATAGTGCCAGGACCCCTGGATATCCATATGCAAAAGAATAAATGTGAACCTTTACCTCCTACCATATACCGATAGTAAGTAAAAAATGAATCAAAGACCTAAATGTAAGAGTTAAAAGTATGAAATGCTTAGAAACACATATAGGAGAAATTTCTGATGACAGATTAGGTGATTGGTCATGTCTCAGATACACACCAAAAGCACATGTGACAAAAGAAAAAAGACATTATTAAAACCTTTTGTGCTTCAAAGGACATTGTTAACAAAATGAAAAGACAAACCATATAACATGAAAAAATGTTTTCCATTCCTGTATCTGATCGTGCGCATGTTCAGTTGCTCAGTTGTGTCCAACTCTGCGACACCATGCACTGTAGCCCGCCAGGCTCCTCTGTCCATGGAATTCTCCGGGCCGGAATACTGGAGTGGGTTGCCTTTCCATTCTCCAGGGGATCTTGCAAACCCAGGGATCGAACCCAGGTCTCTCACATTGCAGGCCAATTCTTTACCCTCTGAGCCACCAGGGAGGCCTATAATTTCTGATTAAGATCTTATATTGATATTTAAAATATATAAAGAACTCTCATGACTCAACAATAAAAAGATAATTCAATAAAAAAATGAACAGAGTGCTTGAATACCCATTTCTCAAAAAAAGATACACAAGTGGCAAATACACACACGAAAAGATAGCCGACATTATTAGTTATTATGGAAAGGCAAATTAAAATTATGAGCCAACTGCTTTACACCCAGTGAAACAGCTAGAATCAAAGAGACAGACAGTAGTAGGTGTTGATGAGGATGTGGAGAGATTGGAACCCTATGCATTGCCGGTCAGATTGTAAACTACTGTAGCAAATTTGAAAACAGTGGTGCAGTTCTTCAAAACTTAAACACAGAATAAACATATGAATTAGTAATTCTACCCCCAGGTATACACTCAAGAAAATGGAAAATCCCCACACACAATGGTTCATAGCAACATTTTTCATTATAGTAAAAAAAAAATATACAAGCCACCCAAACGTCCATCAACTAATAAACAAGGAAACAACGCACAGTGTATCTACACAATAGAATATTAGGCAATAAAAATAAAAAGTAATGAAGTATTGATACATGCTGCAGTGTGGATGATCCCTGAAAACATGGTGCTAGGTAGAAAAAGCCAGTCAAAAAAGACCATAAAATGTAAGACTACATTTATATGTAATGTTCGGGACTGACTAATCTATACAAAAAGAAATTTGACAAGTGTTTTGCCAGTGGCTGGTAGAAGTGGGTAAAAGGGCAGTGACTGCTAATGAGGACAGCTTTTCCCTTTGGAGTGATGAAAATACTCTGAAATTAGATACTGGTGACCACTGAATTCTACAGTTCAAAATGGTGAAATATTTGTATTTGAATTATATCTCAATGATGTCATTCTAAAAAATTATGACTGCAGTAAATTTTATAATTATGTACTGCAGGGTTTAAGAAATAAAATCCCTCCCCCTCAAAAAGAACAAGGAGTAAAGTAAAAAAAAAAAATCCAAAATTTTGTTACCATGTTCCCCACCATGTTTATCTATGCATGTCACTGTGTAGATAAATATATAGGTACTTAAATGGCATTTCTGGTCTCGGTTTTGCCCCTGGTAGTAGTAGCTGACGTCTACTCCTTTGCCATGATTAATAGAGGCTGAGATGTATGTTTCTATCAGAATGTGGTCTTTGCCATGGCGTGCTGTAACCTACAAGATGGCAGTATAATATCTGTGACAGGTGTCATATGCTGGTACAGATAGTTTGCTGTCTTTCTGAACCTAGTTCCTACCATGGGGTCAAGTTCTGCAGATTCCAGACAACCTACACACACTTGACAGAAAAATAAATAATTCTTGTTGTAAGCTGCTGGGATCTTGAGGGCATTTGTTATGCAGTGCTAGTTGGCAAATGAGACTAGTAGGTATTATTTTCTTTGCAAGGAGATTGTATCATATGTGCTATATCTCCAGGAAACTTTTATACATACCTTCACTTTGCAACTTATGGACAAGAAATTGAAATTGAACAGGAAATAGGTTCTTTGGAAAATGTTTCATCAATATAAGATACAATCTTTCTAAATGATCTCTCTAAAACTGTGAAAAAATGTTATTAAAAACATATTAAAAGGTTAGAATCCTTTGGAAAGCATTTGCTTCTATTTCAGTGAGCATCTATCATTTTTCTATTAAGAGAAAATAAGCTCTCAGATAATGTAGTCTACCTTTTCAGTAATAGTGTCATTGTTGTTTCTTATTTATTTTATGGTTTAATAAACATTTAACTAATACAAAACATTGAAACATTTAGTTAAAATGTTTTAACATTTAGCTTTTAATGAACTATTCTATAACTTAAGACACTTAGGGAAATTTTCATCTGCTCTTTATGTTATCTTCTTTCCAGACTTTTTCTCTATCAGTATCTCTCATTTATTCATTCTTTCTTTATAAAACATTATGTTAGTTGTATAATCTCCATGTCTTTAATTCTTTTGTGATGATTTACATAATGCATAGATTACATCAGGAATACTGTTTACTCTATTGGTGTGGATAAATCCTTGATTCCATTTTTAGTTTTCTAAAACTTGTTTGCCAAGTAGAACTATAATTTGAAGATTAGATATTGTATTTGATTTAGGGGCTTTCCTGGTGGTCCAGTGGTTAGGATTCCACTGCAAGGGGTGCAGGTTCTATTCCTGCTCAGGGAACTAAGATCTCACATGCCACATGGCACAGCCAAAATATTAAATTAAAAATATATATTCAATTTAACTGTCTGTCTCTTATGGAGGAAGGAGATTGAGAGCAATTGGAGAAATGTGAAACTATTTTTTTAAAATTTTAATGAAGTATATTTGATATACATGTTATATTACTTCCTGCTCTACAGC